TCGAGATTGGTGCAGACAAGAAGGGGAAGCGAACATTGTTTTTCTAAATACCGAGTTGCTTGCCTCGTTTCCTGGTGCATTATTACCATTATTATAATCGTTTATTACTCATTTCTGCTCCAAAAAATCATTTTTCTTTTGCAGGATATTGGCTTTTTTACCGGTAGATTCTGCTAAATGAGACATTGGACCTATAATATTGCAGAAAGTAGTGTTTTTTACTTGGGTGTCCAAAAAAAAAAAAATGACATGGAAATGACATGGAAAAAATTATTCCAATAATTGTAGTTATGGGAACATAAAAAAATTTTCACTCTTTCATGCTTGGAGAATAATAGAGGAGTGAACAACAAAATGAGAAACTCAAAGAACATATTAAAGTTAAAGTAGTATTTTGTTTGTTCACAATAAAGGCGTAGTCTGTAGCACCAGCAAGCTTACATCAATAACACTTTGCTTGCTTCGTATTGAGACAATTCACCCCGGCCACAAATAAAAGAGTCAAGTGATTCCTTTCTTTTCTCTTTCTTCTCCGAAGTCCTTTGTCTCTCTATTGTTCTCTCATTTATTCACTTATCTGTTTTTTTCCTTCCATATGGCAAACCAATTTTTCTCATTCCCTCTCAACAAATTTACTTGATCACATCAAATGAATAATTTGTTGGATTTGAGTTCTTTGATATTGCGCTAGCCTAAATGATGCAAATCTTGTAATTTATAGTCATCAACTACTCAATATGGCTGTGTTAGGAATACATGATGGAAATATTATTTTTTTATTAGTTTGAGTGTTTCTTTTTAGTGTATGTTATAGTTTTCATATTTTCTTTTCAATAAAAGATACTTTTGATGTTACCTTATTATGAGCTATTATTAGTGCTATGATGGTAACAAGAAATTTTACCTATTTGGATTCACTATGTTGTAACCAAATTTTGGAACTTTTTGTCTTTATAATTTTGCATAGTTTTCGAAGTTACACTTTTGTCGTGGGAGTTTTTGTTGTTTTGATGTCCCTGCGATTGATGTATTCCAACCCATTTTGTTTCAAATTAGGTCCTCAACTTTATACCGCTCTCACGACATTGACTCATGTTGGATCGGAGGGTGCCATTATTTTTATTGTCTCAAAATGATCCACTTTTAAATTTGTTGTTCGATACTTATTCCTTCGGATAAACTGTTTTAGCTTTCTTTTATTTATGGGAGTGGTTTCTTTGAATTTGGTTTTGTTTTTTTTGAGATATTATTGAAACAAAAAGAAAGCGAGAAGAAAAAGAAGGAGAAGACGTAGGAGGTGCAGAATAAGAAAACAATGAGAAAAAGATAAAGCAGTAATTGATTATTCCCAACCACGTACAAATCTAATAGAATAAGGTATTTATACCTCAGGACACATACAAATTACATAAAGGGCTAGAAAATAAAAATATAGTGGACCCCAACATAATATATTTTATTTATTTGATTCCTTTATCATTCCCCCACAAACTAACAATAGTTGCTGAAGATATTGTTAGTTTGTCTCGAAGCTTGTGAAACCTAGGAGTGGGGAGAGCTTTAGTGAAGATATTTGTGATTTGGTCTTCTGATGCCAGGTATTGTAGTTTTATCTCATTGGACTTGATGTGGTCTCTGATGAAATGATAATCTATTTTAATATGCTCAGTTCTCGTGTGAAAAATTAGGTTACGAGCAAATGCCATGACGGACATGTGGTCGCAATAGATTGTGGTAGGTTTTGTACAGGGGATTTGAAAATATTGGAGAAGTCTGCGGAGCCAAATAACTTCTGTGACAACAGATAAAATTGCTCTATATTCAACTTCAGTGGAGGATTTTGCCACAGTTGGTTGCTTTTTTACATTCCATGAGAGTAGATTAGTACCAATAAATGTGCAGTGCCCTGTGCTTGATCTCCTGTCATTCGTGTCATTAGCTCAATTGGCGTCAGCATAAATATGAAGAACTAGTGAGTCAACTTTGAAGGGTAGACCCAAATCTAAGGTTCCGTGGAGATATCATAGAAGACATTTAAGAGCTTGGTAATGTTGGTGAAGAGGGTTGTGAAGATGTTGAGACAGTATTTACCACAATCATGCTATCTGGTCTTAAGGTGAGATATTGGAGTGATCCAATAAGATGCTTGTAAAGTGAAGGACTAAGAAACTTTTTGTTATTCTTTGCGGGTAGTTTGGTGGTGAGAGTTTGGGGATTCGGTAATAATTTTCAATACTTTGTATGGATATCATCTCAATCGAACAAACTATGACAAAGCTATACTAAATAGAGTGGTATAGCTTTGTCATAGTTTGTTCGATTGAGATGATATCCATACAAAGTATTGAAAATATTGATACCCAAGAAGGTAGTTACGGAGTCCAGAAATTTCATTGAGAAGTGATGCTGAAGTTATTTGCTGAAGTTGCTAGATGAGGGCTGCATTATTCACAGTTCATAGTATATCTTCTACATAGAGTAAAAGATAAAGGCTTTAAGAATTGTGATGGTGGATGTATAGAGATGGATTAACATTGCTAATTTGAAACTCAAACTTATTAAGATGGGCGATGAATGTGTAATTCCATTGTCTAGGAGCCTGGTTTAGGCCATAAATATATTTTTGTGAAAGGCAGACATAAGAGAGATATGTGGGATCCTTATAGTCCATGGTTGATGCATACAGACTGTTCCCTGCAACCGACCATGAAGAAAAGCATTAGATTCATTGATTTGAAATACTTTCCATCGATAATGAAGAGTAAGAATAAGTAGCAGTCTGATTGTAGGTATTTTGGCCATTGAACTAAAAGTATTTGTGTATTCGAGTCAATATTCTTGTTGATAACCCAAAGCAACTAGTAGCGCTTTGTACCGAGCCACTGATACACAAGAATTTAGAGAGAATTAACTTACAATTGGGAGTAGGTAGAATGTCTATCCTTGATTGTTGAATGGAGATGGTGTTGCCATTGCCAACCATCACACTCTTATTTCCTTGATATGGTTCAGGTAACTGCAATTGATTATAATCAGCAGTCAAATGTGAAGTAGCTCTTGTATCAAGATACCAATCAATTTTAGCCAAAGAATTGTAGGAGGTAAGATAAGCCGTACGTGTGCTTGAGGTTTCTGGAACAACGGAGTTCTTGGGTTGATAGTTGACAATTAGTCTATGCCAATAGGTCCGAGCTATGCGTCCAAGTTTATTACATATTTGACAAGGGATGAATCCTGGTTTCTTTGCCTGAACATTTGAAGGATTTTGAACACTTTTCCTAGATTGATTTGTATTATATCCTTTGCCCTTGTAAAATTCGCCCTTCCCTTTGTGCATATATAAAGCTAGTTGAGTATCAGGTTCAATGTTTTCAGATTTGGACTCAGAGGAAATGTTTATTTCCTCACTGAATAAGAGGGAACACAGATTTTCAAGACTTATGGAAGCCGGTTGGGTTCTTATAGTTATCTTGTATGCTTGATAAGATCGTGGAAGACCTTTTAGAATGTAAAGAATTACATCTTCTGTATCAACTTTTGAGCTGGCCGCATATATGTTATCAACTAATGATTTAATTTTCATCAGATATTGACTCATAGTCATGTTTCACATTGTCACATTGTATAATTCATTCTTTAATTGAATGACCCGAGAACGATTGGTTGCCTGTAATTGTTTCTCCAAGACAGTCCAAATTTCATAATAACTTTCTAATTTCAGAAAATATGGCAGAATAGAAGTAGACATAGTGGAATAGGGCAGCTGCCAAGTTCTGATTGGTCAAAGTCCAGGTAGTAGAGGCTGGGTTTACCAAACAGATACCTGATTCAACGACAGTCTGAGGAGTTGGGGCTGGTAAAGTGCCATCAAGAAAGACCAATAACCCATTGGCCTTGGTAATCTTGATCATTCGGGATCTCCAAGTTTTTAGTTGTCTGTAGTTAACGCAAATGTAGCCATCGACTTCAGATTCATCATCAAGAACTTCAGCGAGGGAGGAATGTGTCTCGGTGATGTTGTGAGTGGCCAATCCTTCGTGGATCTGGGGCATTCCCATGGCGGAAAAGCCTAATTAAACTATGATACCATGGAACGGGAAGAAAGAGGGAAGAAGAAGGAGAACATGATCTTGTGGAAAAAGAAAATAGGGAGAAGAAATTAAAGCAGTAATTGATTATTCCCAAACGTGCACAAGTCTAATAAGATATGGTATTTATACGTTAGGACACACTAATTACATAAAAGACTGAACAATAAAAGTACAATGGACCCCGACATAATATATTTTATTTATTAGGTTCCTTTATCAATTATGAGATTTCTGCTGGGAACATTTTTCAATTTTTATTTTATATAGCTGACTGCAGTCATATTATTGGCACGAGGCATGCAAAAAATAAAATAATAAAATAATAAAATAAATATTTTTAAATAAATATCTAGCTGTTCAGCTATTTGTCGTTCTCTTTGTTTTTTTGAGTGGGAGTTTGGAGATTTTCTAAGTGTGGTCATCATCTCAAACAAGAGCATTGATTTGCTCTCCTTTTTTTAACTTCATTTTTTTGTTCTCTAAAGTTCATCTAAAATATCATGTTTGTAACTGATTGCATTTTTTTAATGTCTCTAAATTTCTATTCATAATATCTACTAGAAGGTTAGAAAATTGTCTTTTATGGATTTTCAACTTAAAGTAACGAAGAACTATTCAAATTAAGAATTTGTGTTATGCAAATTTGTATGTTTTCATAATTTTGTTTTTTTCTCATTTTAGATTTACTTTGGCAAATCCTTCACAGTAGAATGTCTATATTTCCATGTTCTTTATAATATTTTCTTGTTATGTATTCTGTTGTCTAAATGATCAGTAGTTAACTGTTCCTAATTGTCATTAGAATCTTCTGCTAACTTTTCTAATTATTTTTTGTTAGATATTATTACATATTCTTTACTTTCCATGATAGAATGAATGTTCTTCTAGCTTATCCCTCCATCATTGCAGGTCTCATTCTCTGCGAAGGAGATTGATTTTGCAGAATGGAAAGGTGATTTACTCACAATTGCTGTATCTGAGAAGGATATTTCGAAGGATGAAGACTCTAAGTTTCTGAATTCAATTTTGAAAAAGCTGGATGGTCAGCTTAACGGTCTTCTCAGTGAAGTTTTGATTGAGGAAGATTTCAAGGGAAAAAATGGGCAGTCTGTGGTTCTTAGGCTTCCTGGATTTGGTTTTAAAAGGCTGGGTCTTGTTGGGGTGTCTCAAAGCACTTCATCGTCTTTGGCAGCAATACATCGGGAGATTGGCGAAGCCATTGCAGCAGCTGCAAAGGCTGCCCATGCTAGTAGTGCTGCTATAATTCTTGCTTCTACAAATGGAATTTTGGATGAATTCAAGTTAACTGTTGCTTCCGCAATTTCAACTGGTGATATTCCGGTCTGATCTTCACATCAAGGGATAAGATATAAGGGAGTGTCAAAATAGTCCCATAATTTTTTAGATTATATAGAGCCATTTTAGTTTCAAAATCTATAGAAATGTCAAATTAGCCGCTTGACGATTTGAATTGGGGCTGAAATAATCCTCTTTGGTGATTGTTTTAACCCCATATTAAAAGAGTCCGAAGACTAAATTGATAATTATTTAGACTTGTGACTAAGATGACCCTAGACTATTTTGACACTTTTCTCATTTACATACATATTGCATAATTCATATGTATTTACATATCTACCACTTAAACATTATTATTTACATGTGTACCATATAAATCTTTAACAGCACATCAAAAATATCACTATCAATATCTTTTTAAATTCAAACTTTGGTAGTTATAAATGTAAATGCATAAGATTTGTGTGGTATGCATGTAAATGTCCCAATATATAAACACTATGGATTTGATTTTGTGATTCTCTTAACATGTTCATCCTACTTTCTGCTGTGCAGGAATTGTGCTGGGATATTATGAAGACAACAGATATAAGTCGGAGTCGAAAAAGTTTTACTTAAAATCAGTGGATATTATTGGTTTGGGTTCTGGACCAGAGTTCGATAAGAAGCTGAAGTATTCAAATGCTGTTTCCTCAGGAATTATCTTTGCCAAAGAGCTTGTGAATTCGCCCGCCAATGTGCTTACACCAGGTAAGTGTTCATTTTCTCATGTTTTTTTAGCTCCTGAATTTAGGAGAATGCTCTTCTCTTTTGTTGATTTGAAGAACTTCGCCTGTCGTTGGTTCTAATATTAGAAAGGGTATTTGAGTTTTCGGTTGTGGGTCAAAACTTTTTGATATCAAGCCAGATTGGACTTAGCTTGAAAATTGAGTCTTTTTTTCCTTTGGCAACTTATGTTTCTATTTTGGGGCATTTACATATATACCATCCAAATCCTATGTATTTGCATATCTAGCACTTAAACTTTACTTTTTACATGTATACCACCCAAATCTTTATATCGCATACCACTATCTTAACTTTTAAAAAATGCAATTCATTTTTTCATGAATAAGTACGGTGACATATATGTAAAAATTGAAGTTTAAGTGTCAGATATGTAAATACATAATAATTAAGTGTTATGCATGTAAATCTTCCTTTTATTTTTAGTTATCGAGTATCACTATTTTTTTCAAAGCAACTTTTTTGCCCTATCATCTTAAAATTGTGGGCTCGTAATTATTTTTTGCTCAAAATAGTTAACCTATCATTTCTCTCTTACCCGACACGCATATTAAGATAGGCTATTTTTCATATATTTTTACTCTAGGCATATTTGTCGCTCATGCAACAACTAATTGACAAAGCAAGAACATTCTTCTTAATCTGCAACATGAAAGCTAGTTAAATACAAAATGTCTTCAAATTTCATGTTGATTTGTTGCCCTGCTTGTAGTTTGAAAAGATAATCGGCACATCGCAATGGAAAATGTACATATTGAGATAAATTATTTAGTAATTTAATGACTAAAAAATATTCAATTCACATGAATGTTCTAGAATGTATTATACATCAAAAAGTTTTCAATGGCTAAATTTTTAGATGATTCAGTTATTGATGAATGATTAAATATTCATAAATAATGATTAAATCACATCATTAAATATTCTTATGTCATCGATCAATGTAAATGATCTTGATCTTATATGTGAAGGTGAAAACATCGTATGTTAATTTTGTGGAGAATTGGCGTCTCACGGAGATGATTATACATTGAGTTAATGGAGAAATTCTTAGAGTCCCATCCCATATTAATATATCCATGATATGGCTCCATTATATATATATATATATACATATATAAAATTAATACACGGATCACACGCCTACAAGAAACTAGGCATTGACTTAATGAAAAAGATCAAGTGGCCAAGCCTAGTTGAATGATATCCACTATTTATATAACAAAATAATACAAGTGTGGCCACCTACAAGAAATTGGAGGAACTTTAGTACATGATTCCTCTGGGAATTTATAGGCGATGCAGATGGAATTAGGGTTGGGCTTCACACTCGACCATTTTAAATGACTTAGATGTTTATGACAATATAGCTTTGATGTAGTCGAAGGTGGTTGTATTGTAATCGTGTTTGACAATTGCTATGATTAAAGCGCGGCTTAAGACATCTATAGCACAAGTTGGAGTAATTTTTGTAAATTATTCCTCTAGAAATTAATAATTGATGATGAGGAAGTTAGGGTTGGTCCTCACACTCATCCATTGTGAATAAATGAAATGCATATGACAACAGGGTTATGATGTAACCGAAGGTGGGGGTTGTATAATCGTGTCTAAAGATTGCAACTGCGGAAGATGGCTATTACATGGTTTTACCAATGATAATTGTGTTTTATGCCTTGAAACAAGGCTTTGTAATCCAAGCCTTGAAGGCGACGACTATTATGCATGTGAGGTTGTGACATGTCTAGCATGACAACAACTGCGATGCAAGTGAGGTTTATATCATTGGTTATGAAGGACACTAGTGGCAATGGTAATATGGAGAATGCAAACGAGATGTGACCTTGTTGTTGGATATGATTTGGAGATGCTATAAGTGGACGAATGAGGTGAATATGAATTGCTAAGGGAAGGCGACTTTCCAAGTTTGGCTTCTGCCCACCTTATGAAAGAATTATTTTTTAGCATGAGAGGGGTTCACCAAGTTGGAATGAGTGGATAATGAAGCAAGAAGGGTTGTGTGGGAGGTTGTGGAGGTATAGAGGAGGCTAAGGTTCACTTGGGAAGAATGAAACCAATAGGGATGAGACTACAGTTCCATTTGATGATGAAACTATTTTTTTAGGGGATTGTTCTTTTAATTTTCTATAATTTTGGGAGTTGTAGATGGAAGATGGAGTAATAATATGTAGTGGAGTGGAAGATGGAGTATTAATAAAGTTTTGGCAATCTCTCATGCAACCATGACCTTAGAAAGAAGTTTTCATGAATGCCAGTTCTTGATATTTTGAAGTTTTCATCGATCTACATGGATATGTAAATTCATATTTGACAAGAGATATTGATGGTAGAAGAAGTACAACACGGTATATCTTTAATTTGAGCAATACAACAGTGAGTTGTGTTTCCAAACTGTAGAAGATTGTTGTATTTTCAACCACAAAAGTTGAATACATTGCTATCACTAAGGCTAGCAAGGAGATGATTTAGCTGCAAATCTTTATTATAAAACTGATTCATCTGGCTAATAATGTCACCTTTCATGTTACAACTAAGTATATTCAGTGAGATATCACTTTATTCGTTCTCTCTTAGAAAATTGATTTTTTTTTGGAGAAGATACTCACAACTAAGAATACTACATATATATTTATTAAGTTGGTGACTATTGAGAAACAAAGTTCATGCTTGACTTCACTGGGAGTTTACGAAGATTAAAACTAGAGCGATATTACAGTACATGACTACAAAGATAGTAAAAATGGGAAGGTGCAGAATTGGGTGCAATTTGTCTTCAAGTGAGAGATTGTAAGGTGTGGTGCCTGATAGCATAGTCTGCAACACACTGTAACAGGTTTTTTGTTCCCAGAAGGGGGCGTCTTGGCGTCAAAGGGGTTCTCAAGCGCTCAAGGGGGTGCCCCACCGCTCTAATCCAGAGCGAGCGACGCCTCTGCTCTCATTTTGGGCACCCTCGAGCTTGGGTCTAGAGGGAGCTGCCCAAGCGTCCATTCAAGGGATGTCAATGCCCGAATTCTTGACTTCGACCCGAGTGAGTTAAAAAGCAACACTTGAGAATGGTGTTTCAATGCTAATAACGATTTGTACACAGTTGGGGATATAAGCCCTTTCTTCTCAAAAGATTATACTCTCTCTCGCAATATATTCTCGACTATGCATAAATGGTGCAGAGCGGCGTCTGTGTTGAGAATGTGGATTTCGGCGAGTGTTTTCCTTTGTGAGATCAAGAGAGGAACAACGTGAATTATTGTAAGTTCTAGTGGTGTAGAGAGTGGATCTGGGTGGTGCAATTCTGTGCTATTCTCCTTTCATAGTGCATATTTTGATGTGGTGCGACTCCGCGTCTTTTTTTCATTCTCAGTTTTTCCCCATTAAATCTGTGTTATTCTAGATTTTTTGGTTATGCTTTTGTTCAATTTCTTATTTTGGACCTCTCAAATTGATGTTTTTTTTGTTTTGTGTTTTTGGTTATGAATCAATCAAATTTCAAGTTTCCATCTCAATATGTGGCAGGGCGGGGTGGAGCAAGGGGGTGGGGGTGGGGAATAGGGACGAGCAGTGAGGCTCAATCATAAGATTTGTTTGATGTAGGGCTTGTGTAAAACAAAGAAATGAGAAAGAGAGAGTTGTGCCCAGACAGAGAGAAATGAACGAAATGGCTAGGAGCCCGCAACCTGTTTGTTATTGTGTAGAGTCTGATTGTGTTAATCAATTGGAGACTCAAAGCTCTCAATTTCCTCTATCAAGCTTGACGGTAAGTTTGTTGCCGGCAATGGGGTTGGCCGCTCACCAACTTAAACACAACGCTCGGAGGGGAGCGCCACAGCACAGAGATTCAAAACTCAAGAGTGTGACACTGCAACACCTCTAATGCAACGTCCTTGCGCCCATTGGAGTGCTGCAACTCTATGACGCCCATATGAATTGATTGCCATCTTTGTCGCAGAGATGTGTTTTGGATTTTGAGTTTTCTCTTATGCAAATGGGAGAATAAGCATCCTGAAGTATTTCAAATTGCGGAGAGGTTTAAGTGTAGTGTAATTTGTGTGATTTCCTTCATTTTCTTCATAATGTACTTCTTAGTTTGGTGTGGTTCTGTGTTTTTTCTTGTTCTCGGGTTTTTCTACGTTAGATCTTGTGTTTTTTATATTTTCTTGTTTTATGTGTTTCTGCTTGAAGTTTTGCTTTGGATCTCTCGAATCGGTTCCCGCAATTTCATCACATCTCCCTTAACAAATGGTATTAGAGCGAGATTTCGGTTTGAGTGTGAGTAATGATCGATGAAGCGAGTATATGGTTGAGAAGTTCAATTCGGACTTTGCTTTCGAAAAAAAGCAAATTGAAGATTCGTTATATCAAGAAAAATATATTTGGCACTGGATGGATTCACTAAGCAGTCAAAGTCAATGACTCTGGAAGAATGGAAAGTTCTTGATCAAATAGCTCCAGGCTTGATCCAGCTTTCACTTTCCTCATCAGTTGCTTTCAATGTTGTGAATGAGAGGACGACTGTTGATCTTATCGCTGCACTAACTAGAATGTATGAGAATTTTTCGACTTCATATAAAATTTTTAGATTATGAGATGATTAATTATGAAGATGGTGGATAGTAGTTTAGTGGCAGAGCACTTAAATAATTTCAACACTGTGGTAAACAAGTTGTGTTCTATTGGCATCAATTTTGACGACAAGTTTAGGACACTTTACTCTTATCTTCATTACCAGATAGTTGGGTTGGACTAGTTGTGATGAGTAACTCTTCAAGAAATATAAAATTAAATTTTGATGATGTTATGCGATTAGTGCTGAATGAAAAAGTTGGCAAAAAAGCATGCAGCAAAACTTCAAATTTGTTTTGAATATTGATACTAGATGAAGGAACATAGATAGAAACACATGCTAAGAATGATCCATGTCCAGGATGAAAAAGTTCAGATATGGGAAA